GTATTCATGATTACCTTTAAGGTCTTTGCCTTATCTTCCCCTTTTATGTTGCAGAAAACACCATTATTTCACTCAACTCTCCTGGCAAGTGCATTTTGAGTGCAAATGAATTCATTTTAAGGCACTCTACCTCTAATGTCATAGAAGAGCTCATAAAACATCAGTTAAGCAAAGTATTTCTTATAAGGTTTGGGGCGTGTGCTGTAAAAAATCTTGGGTCCCCACACTGGATTAATATAAAGGTACATATAACATACATACATACACATACACAGTGTTGGCCTAATAACACTCTGCAGTGCCACACAGAAAATACAAATGGTTAAAATGCAGGGCACACAGGTAATTTAAAAATAAAACTTTAAGAATCTTAACAGTATAGTACACAAAGAATTCACCTATTCTAATCAGCATCTAAGACATCTTTCAAAAATGCTATGTTTAAAATGCTTTTAATAAAACTGTTTTCATTTGATATCTCCTAGAAATTATACTCATAACTTCATTTCCTTGAGCAATTTCTCTATTTGTTTTTAAACTACAAGAATCACTTACCATTTAAAGATATGAACAACAATGAACCCGTATCTACCTTCCTTCCACTCCCATTTTGCAAAGAAACATCAGACTGAATCGCGATGATTTGGGAAAGTCATCATCCAAATGAGCTTTAAAGAAACCAACACGCAGGATCACAGCCCAGGGGAAGGATGGGTGGGTAAAAAGAAAAAATATGGCCTTTGCTACCAAGTTACAGAGTTCAAAAACCTTTCTAGACCTCTATCAATGCAAGTTACTTCACTGGTCCTTTATTGCTTTCCTTAATCTTTTTCACCATGAACCTAAAAAAGACTAATATTTGGACTACAGATTAAACAGAAATTAGACAAGTCTTACTGCAACACAATACAAAGTCAGTAAAAAATAAATGCACAGGGAGAGTATAAGAAAACAAAAATAATATTAAAAAATATTTCCCATGACTTGCCCTACTGGATACAGATTTTGTTCCATTCAGCAGTTCCAAATCCTACACCTCAATACAGCACTATATTTAAAATCTTATCTGTTGTGACAGAAGACAGAAGTTGAGAGCTGTGTCAGCGAGCAGGCAAACCAACCCTAACAGAGTCTTCTCCAATGCCCCCAGTTAAACGTGTCGGTCTGGGATGCCGGCCTACTGCCAGCAGCACCGGAGTTCACCCGGATCAATAAAGCTGAATGAGCTGCATAGGGATGAACGCATTTCAGCCTGAACGGCAGAACTAACTGAAAGTCGATAGTGAGAAGCTAGTGCTTAATCCTGTAACACGCAGGTAGACCAGCTGAGCATCGCTCCGATAGTACTCCTCAAACTAATCCCTCAAAGAACAAAGGGATGATTTATTTCCTACTATATTCCCTACGTCACTGTATTACAACAGGTAAAATTGTGTAAAATGTCTTCCCACGTAACGCATGATATTCAGTGGTTTCGGTGATGCTGCTCTCAGGTTCCCCCACAGTCCAGCAGCATTTCCGCTGCCGTGCGCGAAGCGGGCGGCCTGGGGACACCCAAACGCCGCTCTTCCGGAGCACCGTCCGCCGCTGCCTCCAGACGCCGGCCGGTGGGTGCACCAGGGCTGCCTACCAACAGCTGCTGGCTTCTTTTGTTCCCTGCTATCCGTCATTTTCCGCCGGGCACCGCGCTGGGCAGAGGGAGCCGCGGGCAGCGGCGCTCCAGCGACGCCCCGGGGCGCATCGCTCGGTGAGCCCGCGCCAGGCACCGCTGCCGCCTCGCCCCGCATAATGGGACAATTCATCCCGCATCCTCCCGCCCCGCACAGGTAACGGGCGCTGCCCACCCCGGGCCGGGCATCCAGCGCAGCCTCTTCCCGAAGTCCGCGGGTGACACCTCACGGGCAGCGGCTGCCGAGCGCGGCCGCCCCCCGCAGCTCCAACGACCCCGTGCCGCGGCCCCGGCGGCCGCCCCCGCCCGGCGGGGCGGTGCTGGCCGTGCGGGTCAGCCCGGCACAGCCCCGCGTCCCCCGCAGCTCTCCTCGCCGCAGCCCCTCGGAGCGCAACGTGCGCGCCCGGGGCGGAGGTCCCTCTTCTCTCCGCCCGGCCCGGCGCCACCACATCCCAGATGGCCGGGGAGAGCTGTGCCCGGCGGGAAGGTGGCGAGGCCGCGCAGCCGGTTCACGGAAGGGCTCGTAACCGTGTCAGCCCCGCGCAGGATCACCCACCGCGGCAGCACCGAGGGGCGCCCCGCCGCCGCCAACCCCGACCTCTCCGCCTGTCACATGAAAGCAATTATTGCCTCGGCCGGGGGAGGGGAGAAGTTAAAAGCCGTGAGCCGAAGAAGCGGAGGCCGGGGGCGGCCACCTCCCTCCTGCCGCCCCCAGCTGCACCCGCACCCCACCCGCCCGCCGGGAGCCCCGGCCGGCCCGCGGCACTGCCACCCCGGCGGCCTGGACTCACCCATTTATGTCGAGCTGGGCTTCGCCTGGCAGAGAGAACAGGCTGAAAGTTTGGGGCGGGTGGCCACGGCGAAGGCAGGGGGCGAGGGACCGCCCGAGCCGCCGCCGCGCGGAGCGGAGGCGCTGACAGAGCCGCTCCCTCCTCCGGCGGCCGCCGCGCTCAGCACCCGCCGCAGCCGGGCTGCATCCTGCGGGCAGCGCCGCGGCTCCCTCGGCGTGTGCGAGGAAAACAAAATATACAGAAATCAGGCGAGAGAACGGGCTCAGCCTTCACCTCCTGCAGCCACCTGGGGCCCCGCTGCCGCCGGGCAGAGCAGTCCAGGGAGAACGCGCCTGGAGGGGCTCGAGCCGAGGGTCGCCGAGCCGGGCGGGCGGTGCGAGGGCGCGGGAGCGGCTCGGGCTCTGAGCGCGGGCAGCGACCGCCGCTGCTGCTGCTGCTGCTGCTGCCGGGGCGAGCGGCCGCTCCGGCTCCGCGCTGCGGGAAGTGTCGCGAGACTGCGCCAGAGCCGCTGCGCCGCCTCGGGCCGGCGGGAGCTGGAGCGGCGGGGGAAGGAGGGCGGGGAGCGGGGGAGGGAGCGGGGCCGCGGTCCCGGCGGGGGCAGGGGCGGCAGGGAGCGGCGGGGAAGGGGGTGGTACCTTCCCTCTCCGGCCAGGACTTGTCGGCCGGGCACGGGGAGGGGCAGGGGCTCGCCCTATGTGGGCGCTGGGGGAGGATAGAGGGCGCTCCTAAGCGGCGGGACGGGCGGTACCTGGGATTCCTGGCACCCACCTGCCCCGTCCGCGCACGGCCCCCCAGGAGCCGTGCCCGGTCCTGTCGCCGGGGCTCTGCCTTCAGGGACACGCGCCGGCACCTCCGCGAGTGAGGAGGCCCTGCCCCTGAGAGAAGGGGACGGGAGGGGGAGAGTCTGCCTTCCTCCACATCCTCACAGCTTTGGCTTTAGAGGTCGGCAGGGAAGGAAGGAAAGAAGGAAGAAAAGACAAAAAGATTAAAGAAGAGTGCACGTACGGTGGTGTTGATGTTTCACTAAAAAGAGGAGAGGCGCACAGGAGCACTGATTGTTCTTACTGCAGGGAGATGAGAAGCCCCTGCTCCAGTAACACTGAAGGAAAGGGAGAGCAGTAACTGTGCACACATCAATGACATGTTTGCACAGAAAGGCACCGCGTGAGGGGGGGAGGCTTCTGCACAGGCACCTCTTCTCACACGTCTTTACCCTTGGAAAAAACTACAGTAGTAGCAGAGGAGAAGTGCAGATTAAAAAAAAAATCTGGCATAAAAGATAAAGTATAGATAACATTTTACAGCATTAGCACCTTGACTATTAATGAAAGGTTAAGCAAAAAAATCCCGTTCTAACCTTAGATAGTAATTTGTGTATGAAGACAGAAAACGGCCACTAACGTAAAGGATACATTTTTGCACTTCTCCACTCCCTGCACCACAGAATTTATTTTGAAAAAAATTGGGGTTTTTTACCCTGAAAATGACAACAAACATTAATAACTACTGAATCAAATCACTTAATTATTTATAAGTAAAAATTTCGTGAAAACATTTATTGTCTGTAGAAACAAAATTTACATTTATTTTATATAAACTATGTTAAACATACATATAAACATACCTACATCTTACTATATATACTTATGAATGAGGCTTTTAGATATGGGATAACATTGTCAAAAGCACCTTTGTGGACTCAAAGACTACAGACTTAAACTGCATTTGCATTTAACTCCAGCTTCAGTAGTTCAAAAGTGTCGTTTCTTATCCACATTTAGAAATAATTACATTAAAGGCTTCTAACAGTGTGTTTGCATGTGTACATACATGTGCACATACACACCTTAGACAGTCTTTGTGAAACTACAGTATAAATAACGCCAACAATCTACTCCTTAGAAGTGGACATTAGTTCCCCTCATTCAACTGGGGGCAAAAAATTCCTGCTATTCTTAAAACAAAACAATGAGGCATTTTTTATTCCATGAAGAACGTACTTAAACAACAACTGTTTACACCCTGTCTCTTCCCCTCAATAATAAAGACATAAGAGAAGCCAGTCACAAAATGAAAGCCATCTACTACATTATTTACAGAAAATGAAGTATTAAGACAACATGAGATTTAGACTTAGACAAAATTCAGAGGAATGAAGAGTGAGCAGAAGAAAACTGTATTAAAGTGGCAGGCAGCACAGAGCTACTAAACCACGTGGCTAAATACCTACTCAAAAGCCCTCCAACAACAAAAACCATCAGGCACAGAAGGAAGGGGCAGGTGTTATGACAACAGGTTTCTCTGATCTTAACACTGAAAATTTATGCACACAAAGCTTGAAGCAGAACAAATGTTCATGACTATCCTTAAGGTCTGTTAAGGAGTCAAGTGTTACAAGGAGGTTTTCAGAGATCTTGAAATGGCTTTTATTAGTTCTTTCCTTCATAAGGAGGCTGAAGAACTTCCTTATCTTCAAATCCTGCAGCAATGGAATGACATCTGTCAAGGGTCAGTTATGTGCAGAAACATCCTTTTTTTTTCCCCCAGATTCATTAGGATGCAAGTCTGAAGTCTTTTAAGAGGGCTCTCCCATGAAGAACATTGTAGATTGCTGTTCAGATGCTTAAAGAAAGGCAAGAGGGATGTTTCTAACGCAGCATGGGAAAAGCTTTTCTTTCAGAAAGCAAAGAAATTAAAGAACACCCTCCATTTACAATCTAAGGTAAATACTGAGAAATCAGTCTCTGTTATGATTTTTATCATCTTCTCCAAGCAATTCTAACTATCCACTGCCAAGACATGGCAGAAAATGACCTTCCGATGCATAACAAGAAAGTTTTGAGAACTGCCTTTTTTAATGCCACAACAGTGTTATCTTGGGATTTTTTTCTGTCTTTAAAGCAACCAAGTTCATTTAAACAAAACTCAGCATTTCACCCTGAGGCCCTAGGGAAGAAGGCAGCAGGTAAAAACTTACACAACAGGCGATCGATCAGCTGAATTTCTTCCCAACCTCTATCAGTTACCTGAGTTGAGACAATTATGCTCAGGTCTCAAGACCATCTAAATCCATCAGGTAAAACAATTTTAAACATGTAAGTAATTATTAGAGTTAAGGCAGGCTTGTAGAAGCCTTGCAATGTGTTGTTTCTTACTAGACCCAGAATTTTGTGAACCTTGTGAACCCAATCATCACAAAGTTTAAAGTAACAATTCTAACCAACTTATGCAGAGATTAAATGGATCAGCAATGTAATTGCTAACATCATAGCCACTCAGTATTTCAGACATTTAGTAGGAAGACTCTAGTCATATTAAACCCATTGCATTTTGGATAGCAATTAAAAAAAACAATTTCACATGTGAACAACTGAGAATGACATGAGCATTTAACAGCCATTTCAAGCTAAACAAAGGCAATTCACATTTGTATTTTCAAAGTATAAAACAGAAAACTAGAAAGCTCTTAAGACAATCACATTTTCAACTTGCCCTTCCAATGCAAATGCAGTGACTTTACTAATAAAAGAGCCACTGTTTTCCTACTGAGGCTTACACACTTAAAGTAAACAGTTATTTTAACAAGAACTGTTATCAGTCCATGCTCCCATTAGAAAGAATGCAATGATCAGGATTTCAGTTAAGTCTTTGTACAGGTGTTTTCTACAATGCAGTCACAATACAGAAAGGCACCAAGTTATTCAAGTAAATTGACCTTTCTTCTACTTAACATTTTTTCCTGTGTCTTCACAACCCAATCAGTAACTTCAGTACATTGCTCTCAACCAAACACTGTATTTCCAGTTCAACAGAATTTTCTGTGCTAAAAGAATAAATAATCTGATTTGGCTATAAGTATGTAGACACAGGCCCCTGTAATTCACAAAGATAAATCTACACAGCAATGTCTCACACTAGATATAGAGTAGATGCCTCCAGCATCTAAGCCATGAATTTTTATAAAATTCATACATTTCTGTACGCATTTTATAAAATTTAGGAAGTTTCATCATGACAGAATCCCAAATTACTGAAGTTATCAGTCAAGAATGTGATTTGAGCAAATAGTAACACCTTACATAAAAGCTAAACCAACTGAAACAGTAACTACATTTCACATTACATTCATCTTGAGATGGGGAAGGGTAGGTGAGGGGTGGGGGGGAAATCAAAGTCAGCAAACATGTCAAAAAACCCCCAAACTTCTTTGTAATATGTTGGTCACAGTTGTAGAAATAAAGCAGAAAGCTAAACTGTTAAAGTACAAAACAAAATTAGAGTTACCTAGTCATGCATAGATAAAATAAGAAAGCACAAAATCAGAGGAGTCAGTCACGTGTTTAAAACTGGTTAAAGCAGCATTAACTGACTGAAGTCTGACTACTTCAGCATTACTTCCAAGCAGTGTTAGCAAAACTGCCATGTCAGAAGTTTCTTCATGTATCCACTTTTCCCATTTGCTCAACAATGAGTTCACTTCCAGGCTTTAGTAAGAACACTGCAGGAAGCTTACAGACACAGTAGTATCCTGTTGAATAAGATGATACAGCTTCAGTAGTTCGTCCTTTATCATATATGGTTTCACTTCTTACGTCTTTCACAGTGCACAATCAAAAGTTGTGTGAAAGGCTTGTTGGCTTGAGGGTAAACCTGCCCAGATTTGTGGGGCACGTGCAGTGCTCCCTTGCCAGCAGACTCATCAGAACTGCAGCTACTCCACATTTGCTTTGGGTTGACTCAACCTGTTGTTTCAATTCCTTATTTTCACCTCCCAGTAACTCTACACGGGATGATTCTGCCAGATTCATCACTGACAGTGATAAGTAAAAAACCACTTTCTTATCTGCAGAAAGTTGCCTGCCTCTATCCGGCCACGGAATTTCTTACCTTTCACTTCCCATTTTGTGTATGCATGTGAGGTTACTGAAAAATTAGTTAAATCATTTATGATTGTTATTTAAACTGAAGATCTGTTTTTTAGAAACAAACCGTCTGTTACTGTTGAATGACCATAACATCAATGAATGTTGCACACTTCCTGCCTTATTCCCTATGAACGCTAAGCAGTGCACCCCATGAACTGAAGATCTTACGTGACACCATTTTAGCTGTTCTGAGCCATAACCACATTTTGAAATAGTCTGTCTACTGAAGGCATTGTGGAAAAAATCATTACAAAAAAAAGCATGCAGAAATCACATCCTGATTTTCCACTCAAAAAACAAGTTTCCTTTCCCCTGAACATACCTCTAACCCATTATTTGAATTCTGATCTACTAGCCACAACAGAGACTAGCCTGCATTCTATACAGCTAACACACCTTTGAAATTATGGAAATACATTAGCCTGCATTTATTATGGATATTGTGAACAATTTCCTTCTTAAGAACATCTCTTAAAACTACATTTTATGAATCTTTAACTTACCATCAGAAAAAAGTCCAAACAAACCTGTAATACAGACACACAACCCTACCACAGCTTATGCATTAAGGCAAAGGCTATAAACAGGAAACAGATACAATATTGTTTATAGCTGCTTATGAAACAGGTCTGGCTATTTGAGTTTTGTGCTCAGCCCAACAATATTGCAGTAAGGTAAACTTCAGAGAATCACTGGCAAAATTACAAGCTATCTGCATTTAAAGCAGTTTCAATTATGAACAGCTTTGCTAAAAGACATGCTTTCAACAACTTACATTTTTTGTTTTTCTTGTAATTAAATACTTCAGGCCCCAATTTCAGAATCCAGGAAATCACCAAATCATTTATAACAAAAAAAGATTAGAGAAATGTGGCTCGGTCAAGAATCTCATACACCAAAACATAATGAGACAGAATAATTTTGAGTACAGACCAACTAACCCTCTAACAAACCCAAGCATGCTTTCAGTGCAGTTATAAGCTACTGCTACATTATTTTACATACCTGCCCGTTCCCATTCATTTTAATCAAATGCCAAAAGTTGTCCCAACATTCTAACAATTTACAAATGTACATACATATCAGAAACCCAAGTATATTATTAAACTAAAGTAATACAAAATACTGTTTTATGGAAATGGCTGAACAGAGGTGTAAAATCTATTGCACAACCTAAAAGGTCATTACTTGGAAAATCCTGAGCTAATGTGCTATTACCAAACAATTCAGGCACTTTTTTTTTTCCTTTTTATTATTACATAAGCAATAAACTTTCAACATATAAACTTCTGGGTATAACAACTCAAGTTCCATCTGTAACAACATGCTGAGAGAAAAAGTATTTAATAAATAAGACTCCCTTCAATGACTTCCTTACTTGAGACTGGTATGCCAAAGGAACTAAAAGGTACACACCATGATGTTTCAGTTGAATACTGTACTTTAAAAGCAATTATTAAAACTGTAAAAAAGTTCTGCAGCATTCAAAATAAAGTTATTTTTTAATCAAGAAAGTTACAGCGTTAGTTCCTTTATCCTATTTTAAGTCTTGACAGAGTTGTCAAAAAACGAACAGATGCTCCCTTTGCTGTGTTATCTGTTTCAACTTCAGGATCACAGTTCAGTTCAGGTTTCTGTTGCAACATTTAGATTTCCCTACACAGAGAAAAAAATAATTACTTCCGATTTGTAACAGCAGAAAAACCCTCTGAACTTTCATAAGTACTGTATTATGGTATGTAACATGCAAGATTCTTTCAATTATAGATTGAAACAGCACAATTGTAAAGACTGTACCCTAAAGGATGCACAACTATTATTATTTCAAATGAAGTAAAGTGAAATAAAGATGTTCAGGCCATTTTAACAAATCTTGACAAGTTTTAATTGTTACAACAGGCAAAATGCTAGAGTTTGAGGAACAGTTTTGGTTTTTAAGAATTAGCCCACCAGCAACCATTATGCTGTTAGGAAAATGGTTGTCATACTTATTCTTCAGCATTTATTTTACTTAAACATACTCAAATTCATCAGGCCTAAAAAAGAAAAAAAAAAAATCAAAATTCAGAACTCATCATGATTCTGCGACTCAAATCATAATATCTAGTAGCCAGATTGTGTTAAGTATGTGTTATACGTTCCAGACAAGAACCTTAATAGCCAATTATAGAAGAACACTGGAAATTACTGGGGAAAGTTCACTACAATAAAATTATAACACTTCTATACCCATTTTACAAAGTCATAATTTTTGGGGTGGGGGGGTGTAATCTTTCTATATTTATTTTCGACTAATTCCAATTCAATTTAGCCTTCAGAGACAATACTTGTCAGGGCCCATGCAAATATAAGAGGCATTTTCCAGTATACTTCAGTAATAAGTGACCCATTTACCTTGTCACAAGTGCCTGGTTTTCTTTCTGTTTTGTTTTTTATTCTGTGTGTTTAACATTTTTGGTTGGCTTTCCCCCCCCGCACTGGGCTGTAAACTTGAGGTTTTTTGAAAACAGCTGTAAGAACCTGTGCTCTAAGGTGCCTCTGTACTCTAAGAGCTGAAATCTAATCCAACTACAATTTCTTATGTATGCAAGTGTATTTACTTGTAGCTGTATGGACACAGAATTACAAAACAAGAATTCACACAGGAACACAGAACTGCACGGGGGCTGTGTGGGTCATCTAATCCAACTCTCTGATGTCACCAGTAACTTCATACTACTTTGATCATATTTGTTCAATTCTAATACAGGATTTAGAATGTTTTAACTACTGATCCTCATAAAAGCTGTAACATTTTATATGGTTCAAAAGTTTTTCTCCAGTTCAACATTATTGTTGTCACATACACACTGAAAAATCAAAGCATCATAAAACAGATATGCCTATTCCAATTTAGGCTTATCAAACCATTTTACAGAGACATTATATAGTGTAGGATGTTTTATTCAGAGCAGCACACCGGTGGCACACTTTAAAGCACGTGATTAATTTAAGGTAACATAACAAAGAGGGGAAGCACACAGTTGTATTAAAAAAATTAATACCCTTCACTTCAATTTAAAACCATAGCTTAAGAGGACAGAGTATTTTTTTTTTCCACAGAAGGCTACTTTCTTGTCCTGTCAGCAGGAAGAGAAATCAACTGAGTTCAAGAAAAGAATACTGAAACAGGGGCAACCACAGAATCTCAGAGGCCACCTCTGATTTGCAGTTACCTAAAGCAAGTTTCAGCACGTTTCCACAGAATAATCATGGAAGAAACAGGAGTACACAATCAAGGTTGCCTGTAAAGTACAAAGAGCAAATATTCCAGAAAATCCTATCCAAGTTATTCCATGAGGATTTAAAAATTGAAATGGATTTTATGAATATGCATATTTTATAAATGGCTTAGTAAGAAAAATAATTAATCCAACTTACCTTTTCTTTCCTCAAAAATCCATCTCTGAATTTATTAGTGGTAAATCCCCTTACACCAACAGAACGTAACCGCTGGTACTTAGCCTGAATATATAAACCCTTCTGTACTAAGCCTGATTTATAATGGGATTGCAAACGGCCATCTGCAGAGTTGCTCTGGGGGAAGGGAGGAAAAAAAATGTGCAAAATGAGGGCACCAAAACTCAGAAGTTCATTTTACAGTTATACACACGTAAAACTTACAGTACCCAGCGACAGAAGTGTGCATTTGGAAGTGCACACCCTGTTCCTTTACTTCCATTTATTATTCCTCAGACCATTAGCTACCACTTGGCTTGAAGACCTGCTGCATTACTGTTTAAAACATCTGAAATTATCTTCCTCTTAGGAAAAAAGCAAATGTATTGTACAGTCTTTAAACATGGGGTTTTTTTCAAACTTTAAGGAGAGGCACAGTCTATCAACAAAAAACTTTCAGACAACACCTCATTGCCATGAACAAATTCAGTGATGCCAAGCTTGCAGTGGGCACAGGTGTCGAGCCTAGAGAGTGATACTAACAGAAGTCAGTATATATGCTGTTTGTACGGTTTAAGGTCTTACAGTCTGAACGTACATACATACATTGCTCTACGCCTTTGATACCCCCAGACTGGAATACTGTAAACTAACCTAGTGTGAGACTAGGAGTGGAGGCCATAGAGATAGCAAAAGACTTAACAGTGAATGGCATTATAAATACACAGAGAGAAGCAAGATCAACACTGACCACAGCAGCTAAAGTTAGAAAAAGATTTTTATTACTAAGCACTCAGACTTCCAACAAAATAGGTGGTAAAAATCTTTAGAGTAAGAAAAACTGTCATAATTTCTCATAGTTTTGCAGTACTGCCATTTTTAAGTTTTCCAGCACAGTCCTGACATAAAGCATTCATGTATACTTTCATCTTTTAAATTTAGTTTCTCCACCCCATCCAAATTTAAACAAACAATGGCTTTTCAACTAAAATCAGAGGAAACCTCTTGACCATATAAATTCTTGTCTTTTTACAAACACCTTTGAAGGGTAGGAGAAAAAAATATATCGCAGAAATAGCCCTTCCTGAGCATGACATAATTACTATGGCAAAACTGGTTTCCTTTGACAGAGTAAGGATCACTTCAAGAAAAATCACATGCTCTGAAGTTGCCATAACTTTAGTACCAGTTTTTCCACTGCGTTTTCCACTGTACGGCTAATGAACAACTGAGAAAGGACTGTACATGTAAAGAACAGAGGTTTTGTTATTTCCCAAGTCACTTCACCCACCTACTTTGTAGGACATAACTGAGAAGCTGGCCCCATCATTCCTCCAAGGTTACTCTGATGGAGGTCACTTGCAGAAGGCTATTAAATGCCAATGCCTTTCCTGAAGAGTATCAAAGGGCAGGTATAAAAAATTTATGTGCACTTGCCCGTTTTAAGTGGGTATATGCCTACCACAGGGAAAACGGAAGGGCATTTTTAATGCTGGATTAATGCCCTGAACACAGTTAAAAGTTCCCTTTTCCCCCACAGCTGCTATGGTTCTCTTTGACTCCAGAAGCTAGAAAGGGGTGGTCTGCCACTGCACTTGTATGACAATAGGCAAAGGAGCAGAACAAGTAAGAGATGGGGAAAAGCTGCAAGAGAGTGAAAATTCCATTACAAACAGCTTAGATGTTTCAACTCAAGTATCTACATGTTCCATAAGTGGTGAGAGAGGGGAATAGCAGTATTATTAATGCAGAACAGAATCTGCTGTAGACAAAGTTAACAGATGATATATATACAGGCACCTCAGTCACACATAGCTTAGAGCAAAACAAGGTAATCTAAAGTGTGTGGAAAACATCAGTAACTTCTGGTCTAAAAATAAGAAAAAAAGTCTGCTAAAGTAGCATTTAGTTTTACATAAGGACTGTTTTATAAATAATGCTAATGATAATCCCTATGAACAAAGAGCCTCAGGCTCTAAAATAAGCTATATGAGCAAATAGATACCACTGCATTGAGTCTGGCTGGGATGGAGTTAGTTTTCTTCACAGCAGCTTGCATGGTGCTGTGTTTTGTGTTTGTGACTAAAACTGCACTGGGAGCACGCCAGTGTTTTGGTTATTGCCCAGCAGTACCTGCACAGCACCAACACTTTCTCTTCTCCCCCCACTCTGCCCCTCGGCAAGTACACCAGGGAAGAAGTTGGGAAGGGACACAGCCAGGACAGCTGGCCCAAGCTGAGCACAGGGATGTCACATGCCATACGACTTCCTGTTGCCTCTCTGGCAACAGAAACTGAGGGAAGGTGGTTTTGGAGCAGGCAGCTATTGCTTGGGGACCAGCTGGGTATCAGTCACCTCGTGAGAGGTGGTGAGTGCCTTTGCATCACTTTTTTCTTCCTCTTTTCTTCACTTGTTGAACTGTCTTCATCTCAGCATGAGTTGTCTCACTTTTGCTCTCCATATTCTCTCTCCCATGCTGCTGGGAGAGGAAGGGAGCTGAGGGGAGAGTGGGCAACAGCTGTGTGGTGCTTAGCTGCTAGCAGGGGTGAACCCACCACAGCCATACATAATTAATTAATATTACACCACATTAATACACTGAACTGTGTTTAAAAAGTGAAGGCAGTTTAGTTTTAAAGATCACTGTGCATGTACTCAAAGTCTGGCTTAGTGATTCATTGCTAAGTGTCATTACAAAAAAGACCTTTTAAATTTTGTAAAACTTCTCCAGATCCTTTATATTTCAGAACAGCAGTTTTTGTCCTTTCCCAAAAAGTTTAACATACAGCAAGACCTTATTTTTTTTAAAAAATACTCCAAGTAACCCCCATTTTTTGCTTACTAAGCTTAAATGCCCCCATTATATATTTATCAAGAAAAAACGGGGTGTGATTTTTTGGGAGGAGGTTGGGGTGGCAGAGAACAGGATTCTCTCCATGTGTTTTTTTGGTGGGGCTTTGTTTGTATGTTGTTGTTTTTTTAAAAAAAAAATCAGCCAAGAAAGTCCTGAGTATACAAGATAGTCAAATCACCTTAATTTCACCAACAGCATGACAAGGAAAAGCCCCTTTACACAGGAGGAAATTAAATGTAAAAAAAAGTTGATGAAATTAAGTGAAATCAGCACTGCTGTTTCCATGGCAATGATAAAAGTGCTATACAAATATGCAAACTGCAATACAAGTGCATATGCTATTTTCCCTACAAATATCAAAACTCCATGGGACAGCTCATTGGATACAACGATATTCGTATAATCTGTGAGATGACAACTTAAATGGACAGTTTCATGCTTGTCCAGTCTCCAGCAGAACTGCAGGCTGAAGGAAGGGAGCATCCACTATCAACACTGCCTCAAGAGATCTGGCAGCCAGTGCTAAAGACACTTCCATCACCTGGAGGCTGACAACACAGAGGGAATACTGATCAAGAGGCTATGATGTCCTTACTTGTTAAAATAGTTATATCAGGCTGACACTTGTTAACTTCAGCTTGGAAAAAGACTTTTCTCCAGCAGAATAAAGACAGCCTTTTTTGCTAGTATTAGCTTAGCTATCTGAGATTGACTGGCAGTGCACACGTAAATGGCAGAGCCTAAAAGCCTTTTTATCCAACAGTTCTTATGTTTAGCTAGGGGGGAGGGCAAGAAGGGGGGAGGGAGGAAATCAAAAAAAACCCCACACACAACACACACCAACACTCCCCCCTCCTTTCAAAGTTTCATCCAAAAATTACAGCTACTTAGCCATTAAAATTTTACTTCGACTTCACTATCTACAAAACAGGAAAGATGACTACCTACTCTGTGTATTATTTTACTCCAGAAAACACACCTATTCAAAAAGTAGGGGTAATTTTAAGGTAGAAAATTAGTGTAAGTTGCTCTAGATTTGATTAATACGACTCACAGAAACAGCTCTAACTGGACCCATACATAGCATTTCACTGTTAGGAGAAAAGGAAGAAAGTGTTTTGTTTTTCTGCTGAACCCAGGATACATTTTGCAATCAAAAGGCATTAGAAAGCCATTGCACTACCCCAGAAAGTAGTTGCCCACCCCTTTAACATCTTAAGGCCCTGAGAATAAAACTTCAGTTCCTTCAATCTTTTTTATGCACAGCTAGCAGTACGCAGGGCACTCACAGAAGATCAGTTCCCCAGAAATCCCTGTTTGAAAAGGTTAGTAAAACAATTCTGAAAGTAATAAAACTCATGTCTCCCAGTCTTTGGAAATAATCTGGGCTTCTGTCATGTGAAGGAAAGACAGCTGAGCAGCTTGGTTTTTTGGATAGATGAGCTTTCTAGTCACTGTCAAATTTCTGCAGTTCTCCTTCTCAACTTTGCAGTTAACTTATTTATTTCAACTGCATGGACACAATACTGGACGACTCTGCTCAATCCACTGCCAGCCCTCTTACCTACTAAAAGCTAAGCCTCCCATTGGAACAATGGAAACAATTGGGCTGTGATGATACTATGTTGCATGGCATTTATTACCTTCAAAAGTGTGTCTCCTGTTACTAAACTCAACAGGCTCAATCACCATTTTATGTACAAACAACTGATAAATGCTGATCTGTACCTTAAAGTGCCTTCTGATGGGTCCTGCATGTTCAAGGTGTCCTCTAATGCGTCTGTGAGGGTAAGTATCACTTGGTTTTGAAGAATAGTAAGAATTCTAGTAGGGAAAGAGAGTTATAGCTTAAGGTTACTAAATTATTCAAGAGAAAAATAAAAAACGTTCAGGTTATCCTAACAAATATTGCAACATTTTTCAGTCTTGTAGCGTTTGATACAATGACACCGTTTAAAGGAACAGAGTACCAGGAGCAAGGGGCCTGCAGTGCAGGCTGGCTGAAGGGATGGCAGAGGCACACCCTGTTATAGTGTGCACATCTCCACAGCAACCAAACAATTGTGTATCATGTTACACTGGTACTTAGAAAATTCTACTTTTAACTCTATGTTTCAGGAGAGCATCTGAGGATTGCTTGCCCACCACAGAAACACAGACAGACAATTTCAAAAGCAAGTCACACAGACAATCGGCATTGAAGTTGTTGTGTCAACACCCTGAACAGCTGCAGTCAAACAGCCATGGTTGCCTAAAAACAGAGCACTCCAGCCGCTGACCTACCTGTGCATTTTGGCCCTTTTCCAACTTTCCCTATGACAGCTACCTGTCATTACATTACCTACATTACAGAGGATATAATTCTCTTCCATCATTGCATAGGATCATAAATATTTACAGAATCATTGGCATATACTGGCATATACTACATTAAAGTCACCTAATGCAGACAGAACAGACTTACTGATGAACCCCTATCAATCAAAATATTTTTTTTTTGTTTATGTTCCATTCTTGAATAATCACAGAGGCATTCCAATGCTGTTGAACTCCATTTTCTCAAAGGAAATTTTAACAGCTTCGAATATAGTTTAAAAAGAGCCAGTGAAGAGAATTGTCCTGAAATATTTAATATATACTAACATCTAATAACAAATGCAAATGCATATTTTGCTGTTCACAGAACTTTTTTTCCACTAGCAAACTACCAAAACTCTCCAGGAACACTATTACTAATTGAAGGCGTGGCGTGTGTGTATAAACATAATAGAATGGTGTCAGAATCCAAGTTAACTTTTAACCAGAATTTAAGCTTTATTTTTTTCTTTGTTGTTTTAGACTATATTATCTACAACTCAACTATTTAGCTTCCTACAATGCCTTGACGAGAAGAGATTCAGAGAACAAAAAAAGAGAGGAAGAAAGACTTTATGGAGTGAAATCAAAGTAATCAAAGTGGCTTTTCTGAGGAAAAGGTATGGAAAATTAAAATTAAAGAGGGAAAACCATGTCAGGAAACTTGCGGCTCCCTTCTTATTCTAAGAATACGAAGACACTCCACAAAAATCAAATTAGCTTTTTCCACGCAACACAAGCTGGAAGCTCCCAGTTGAAGTACACTCTTCCTTAAAGCTGGGAATTCATCAAGATGAAAAAAAGTATTCAAGCAAATTCCCTGTTACAGTTAAAAATAAACCTCTAGGAATTAAAACAAAGCTTGCTTTAATTAACTGTGGATACAGCTTTTCCCATTCTCACCTTCCTGAAGACTAAAGTACACTCATGGAAACACAAACATTAGAATAACTTGATGCAAAGATACAGCAACCTACTTCTCAGAAACTTCCTAAACCAGAGGTTTTAAATTAAAAAAAGAAAAATATATATTTGTTCTGATTTTCTACTTCCCTCTTTAGCTATCCTGCTTTTGTCAGTAGAGTACAAGGCTAGACAGACACTTTTTACAATAAAGGTTAGATAGACAATTGTACCTTCAAGATATAAGTTCTTTTCAAGTTTAAGGTCAATCCCCAATTACTGAATATTAACATCACAAATGTTACCTTTTGAGAACTAAAATTTTTTATTTTCCCACTTGTCTGCAAACCAGCCTCTGCATGGCTGACCATGAAGAGTCATTCCATCTTTAGGATCCCTTGCATTTGTAATAGTCATGCTTTCACAGCTATTGTTGTTCCAAAGGGAACAACTCCTTATTGCAGTGCAGGACTTCCTAAAGACTGCATGTTTGCAGTTCACTATTAAATATGAAAATGCAATCTTCCTGAATATTCAGCACATTTAACAATAACTCATTGTCTATTTCAAACTAACCTCCTTTTTATTGCAATACTATATTACTCTGGTGGGTTGATTTTGTTGGGATGCCACGTGCCCACCAAACAGCTCTATCATTCCCCTCCTCAGCAGGGCAGGGAAAGAGAAAAAAATTTGAAAAAAAACTCATAGGTCAAGAAGGCAGTTCAATAAAGCAAAAGCAAAGACTGCAAGCAGAAGCAAAGGGAAACAGATTTATTCTCTACTTCCCATCAGCAGGCAACTTCCCAGGAAGTAGGGCTTCAGTACCCACAGTGGTTGCTCCACAGGACAAATGTCATAATAATCAATTCTTCCCCATATATCCTTCCTTTCTCTGAGCTTGTATTGCTAAGTAGATGTCATATGGTCAGTTTGGGTCAGCTGTCCTGGCTATGTCCACAAGATCTTGCCCACCCCCAGCCTAGTGGGTGAGGGGGGATATGGGAGAGGCACCCTCGATGTTTTGGAGCACTGCCCACCGGTAACCAAAACTCTGCTGTGTCACCAACACCTTCCTGGCTACCAATGCAAACCACAGCACTGCGAGGGCTGCTGAGGGAAGGATTAACTCCATCTCAGCCAGACCCAATACAATTACTTAATGAGCAGTTACTACTTGTTTTTAGAAACTTTAATCTTAGTCTGGAGTAAGTAATATTTTTTTACCATTAAAAACTTGCATTCCTTTACACTGTTGTATCTGCAAGACAGCTACATTCCAGAATTGACTACATAAAAGCTACTTTTGATGGACCTCAGAAAAGTTTCATGGGCTTCTGGAACCCTGTCCATAGAGTATTAGTTACAGTGTATAAAGAATGACAATTTTTGTTCATCTCCTCTTTATTTTGCAGCCATCAGAAAGAAAGAAAATGTTTTAGAATTATACTGCACACATTAATAAAGCTTTACTAGTCTCACCAGTTCCCCAAGTTAGACAAGCACAAACAATTGGAAATTACTACATTTATTTAGAAGGAATTTTCTAAAATAGACAAGTTTATTTCTACTGAGCCTAACAGAACTGTCTTGCCCATTTCAGCATTAAAGTACACCATAGAAAGATAGCCTAAGAAAGACTAATTGTTGAAAACTAGGTTTCATATATGCAATATCAACGAATATAAGATATTCCATTCTTTAACATTCCATCCTCAGGAACATTATTTCAGACACTTCTCATTATGCGATTTGCTCCTCATTTTTATTTAAAATAAGTGCTTTCCAGAATTTTTATCATAATGAGGAGAAACACTGTTTCAGTAACAATACCACCTACACAAGATTCAGACCTTCCCTTCCAACCACTGACAACTAGAAGAGTACTCTTTTTCTCAAGCTATTCAATATCACCTCAGATTACCTGCTCCATAACAAGGCTTTCTATTTTACCATGTAGATGTTACACCATTATGTGGAAGAAATGACACTAGATACATATTTCTTTTACAGAAAGAAAAACAGTGGTAGCAAAGTGTTTTTAGCTCACTTGTATTAATTTCTGCTCCAACAAATACCTGAGGAAGTACTCTTGCACTAGGGCTGTGAAATTATGAGTATTGTTGAGCACAGATGGAAGATAATGAAGCCTCACTTGAAATTTAAAAGGGCAAGACAGAGATTGTTGAATTTACATCAGCACAGACAATTCAGCAAAAAAAATGAATTATACATTCATAGTATAGTATCAATAGTAGCAGAAGCTACTATTTCTATATTTAGACTTACAAGATGAGGTCTCCCAACAAATTTCCTGAAAGCTGGCTTAATGAACCTCATAGGCTTTTGGAAGCCATCAAGTTGAGAGGTTTGTAACTTTGAAAGACTGCAGCTTTGCTGGTTCCTGATGCGTATGAGAGAGAGAAGGAAAGAGAGAGAACAGTAAATATGTTAAACCATGGCATGTCAACACTCTGTATTTTAAATTAGCTTATTCTGGCAACTGTATCACAAATGTAGAGTGGCAGTTTTTAAGTAATTTTTTTCCTAGGACATTCGACAAATTACTAGTCCAGGCTCAAATTTCACAGAATTATATAGCAATCTGTATTCTTTTATGCAATGACAAATTAGCAGAGATGCTCTGCTTCCTGAAATTCTGGATATGGAAGTCAGGTTTCCCCTGGCCCAGCCCTCTCGGCGGGACACTGCTGCCCTCCACTGGTGGAAACGCTTTTTGCACTTCAGCATCTTCACACACTAGAATTGTAGAGAACTTGTCATTTCATGACATCCCCAATACGACAGAAGCTCAGACAAATTGCTACATACTCGTTTCATCCTCAGCAAGCAGCTTATTCTGGATTTGAACTTTTGCTTGCTTGTTTTTATGGCATTTCGTTGTTCTGGTTTTTTCCTTTTTTACTGAGCATATTACTAGTACAGATGCATCTGTGTCTAAATAAAACATTTACCATGAAAAGTAACCACCAGAAGTCAAAAATCATATTTTATGAAACAAAAAAAGAGTTTACCTAGCTGGAAAATAAACTAATAAGGAAAAAATAGAGGCACACTGCACAAGCTCATAGGCATCATCAGTATCTCACATGAACTGTTAAACCCCCTCAACGTCAGGAAAATTCTATGATGCCATTACTGCCCTCAGCCTACATTACCCTGACAGCGTAACCCTTCTCACATCAAACTCCAGAATAGCCACACTTAGTAGAGAAATGTGCACTGCTCACTTTGAGCACATAGACGAAAGATAAGCAGGACAGTAACTGTGGAAGTGGCAAAAAAGAGAAGAAAAAAAAAAAGCCTTTCCAGAAAACTAGGCCAGACATACACCAAAGATATAGCCCCAGGTACATAAAAGGCTACATGAAAACAAGTCCAGGGATTTTTTTCCTTCACTTGCTAACCTTAACTTTTTTTGTCTAAAGAATCTCAAATACAAGAAAATTACTTCTGCAGCTTCACAAGTCAGTTTTTCCAAGTGTGTGTATTGCCATTAGTTGCCATTATAGACTGCATTTAAAATTAACAAAGAGCAGCACATTAAGAGCAATCTGCAAGTCATGACTACAGTGTGGATACATTTCATTACTGTGGCAATGCTTTAATCAACATTTCTGCTAACACAAACAAGTCCCTTTCTCCAATCAAATCTCACAATATCAGAAGTGGAACAGGATGACTGAGGTTAGCAAACACCTCTGGGGCAAACACCTTTAACAAAGCTGCTGGAGGCATTCATAGCAGTAAAACACTATTCCAAAATTCCAACTTTCGAATTCTCCAGGAATCAGAAAAATTCCAATTATTTGTTGATATTCCACATTCCACCAGGGCAACACAATAATGTATTCATCCTAGAATGCTTTGATGAAACTACAAAATATCAGGAGAATGTTGCTATATGGCACATCAAGGAGTTTAAAAATAGTTAACCATCTTCAATTTCCTCCCCTCTTCCCATTTAGTGCTACAGTTTGGGCTTCCTTTTCATTTTTTCCTCAATGCAGTTTAACATCTTTCAAGGTAACACTTCATTACAGAGTAGTTTGCAATGAATGTCCGTTGAATTTCAGTCCCACTCAAACTTTTTAAGGCCAAACTACGGAAAAGAATCACAAGTGTGAACATAACTGCGTAAGGGTTCAAAAATGAACACATAAGGGAACTATAGGCTTGAGCCAACAAAATAAGTTGCTAATTACCTTGGAGTTACACCATCTACATGAAAGACTCTCTCATCTTCATTCTTCAATCTCTCTTTTCTTCTCCTTTCTATATCATACCGTAGATCATTTGGATCTTCTAACACTCTTACAATGTTCTAGTTAAAAGGAAAGGTTGAAGCCAAGTTAGCTGGTATGAACTAAAAACCGACCTGATTGTGTCCCTCAGGGGCAGCACCCTGTATGTAACTTTGTTAACACAGATCAGCTGTCTGCACATAGGATAGATCCACATCAACCTGGGAATCCAAAGTCTAAAACACTAACAGCTAGTCCTAAACACTACCCTTTCTTGCACTATATCTGCCTTTTTACAAGTTTCCAAGCAACACTGAATGGAGCACTGGAATTCTGCATAGTTTCCAAGGCATAAATATTCACATAAATTTCAGTAAATCTTAAGAAGTTCTACTATCCCTAATTAAGTTGAATGTCCACACACTTGTACTACAGAAAAGAAATGGTAACTAAATCACAGTAGGCACAGCTTGAAAGAGGAAGACAGAAAATCTTATGACCCCAGATGAAAGCATGGGATAAAACAGCATTCTGAGGAACTATGTGGATGTTGGGTCATTCTAACAGTAGGGTAGAAGAAACATTAAGGCTTTTTGTAATCTTAGAGGGAAAGCAAGAACCACATGTTAGTAACAGACTTAGTATTTACACTGTTTAAAATCAGACAGCAGTTCAAGCAGCAGGAATAGCCACACTCCAGCTACTCTGGAGAACACATCTGCATTTTACTCGCCAAGGAATATGGTGTACTTGCACCACTGTGACATATGTAAACATGCTCAGGTGTGCATTTTTCTCAAAACACTTAGAATTACTGGTGATCTTCAAAACATGTAAAAATTATGCACCAATAAAAATGTAGTTTACACATATAATATTTTAACTTACTGTTTTCCAAAAAAGTTAAGCTATCAAGATACCTGGGGAGATTCAGATGGCACAGTTCGTTTGTTCTGAAGTTCTGCTAGAGACATGTCAATTCTCCTGGAACACAAAATATTACATAAAAAAATGCCATCACTATAAAAGCAAAAGCATTACTGACCAACCACAGAATGCTTTAAAGAATATGGGCAGGTGGGTTAGTCACTGAATAGAAACACTTCACATTGAGTAAAGTCTGCTGAAGATTAATTACCTTAATGTAAATAAATTAAGACAAAAAGTTCAACTGTTACCTGTGAATTTCTGGATCCAAATGTACTTTCACTTCATTCGTATTTGTACTTGGTTTATCCTGAATTTTTGAGAACCGTTCATGTAGAGTTATGTCAGAAGATGCAAAATAATTTGCTGTGAATAGATATTAAATACAAGAATGTTATTTGTGGTATTTGAAATGCACAGTGGGAAAATCTATCTTTTAAAAGATTAATTCTTAAGGATACCACGACAACTTTACTGAAATGAAATTTCAAACTATTTCCACTTTAAGTTAAACATTCACAAATGAAAGATCAGGCCACCCCTACTTAGACATTCTTCTTACTTAGTAAGATTAAACTCAATAGAAAGTTAACTAATCAGCAGCTCTATGATGGTACTACTCAAATTACTAGAATCTATAACATTCAACACTGAACACCATGCAGCAATCTGAACATTAATCTGAAAAAATTAAAGAAACCACATATAACTAGAAAATTGTGGCTACAGCAAAACTTTTTTTTTCTTGTTTCCTAAATCAGCAGGTTACTCTCATATACTAATATAAAATCTTTTTGACCCTAACACTCTACAATAATGCCTCAGTTATGGTCTGAGACCTTCTTACAGCCATTCTCCACCCAGCTACTTTAAATCCTCAACCTACATTTTCCTTACACAACAGAATGAAGCCAAAGGCAAATGCCTGAACTTACAAGGACATCATATCCAAACCATGAGATTTGGGTTTAATAATCATTTATACATAAACACATACATATACTGCAAATATTACAGCCACCTTTAACTTGATGAATAATTGTGATTATTTCCTGAGTAAATTCTTTTGATGGGTCCTTTTCAACATTTTGTGTTACAGATTCCATGTGCTCAAACACGGGATGAAAATTCTCATTTTTTCTGCCAACAGCAGCCAGATCATGGGATATCTGTCTCTCTGTAGTATGACTGGAAGCAGTCCTTGAACAAAAAGTTATAGTGAATTATTTTAAAGTTAATATCTACATCTGAAAACTTGAAATAGACAAGTAGAACAAAACAATTGATTAAGAAGTTCATTTTAGGAATAAATGAGATGAAACAAAAAATCTCATTTTGTTCCTTTTTTTAATTAAAAAGCTCATAAGGAAGAAAATTTCTTAATAAAATACGGGAGATGACTTCACTCTCAGGAATCTTTGTTTCCGTGAAGTATGAAGTACAAAATTTGTGAATTTTAAACTTAATTCAACTAGATTATCAAATACAGGCAAATGAAAATCCTGACATATCTCTTTAGTATAATTCTGGAAGGCAATTATGCCCATGTCTTTGTTTATAAGGAGCTACTAGGCAATTTTCAAGAACAGTTCAGAGATTAAAAAAAAATCTCACGTCTTTGGGAACTGAATCATCACTTGAACCCAGTGAAACAGCAGCAAAACTGCTCCAGGAGCAGTGTGTGAATTTAAGAACATGTTTAGCATCTTTTAGTAAATTTTTACTCATTCTAAATGAGTTTACACCCCAAATGGTTGCCCTGCTGCTTAAACATTATTTTGACAAGAAAGCCAACACTTCAAAAATCCTGTTCTTGTTGCAAGGAAAATGCTTGTCATTCCAAAAGATATGTTGAGGACTCGTAGCCCATGTAAAAGCTTTTAGGATGAAGACTGTTAATTGTGCATTCTGTAAAGTGATTTTGTGCCTGCCCATCCTGTATAAGCAGCATATAAGACTAGAGTTCCATACAAAAATTGTATCAGAAATAGCCTCTAGCAGGTGCCAGAAGTCATCTATCTGCCCCCAGTAAACTGGAAATAAATGCATGCAAGAGGGAATCCAAGCAACCTCAGTTGTAGATGATTTGAATTATCTACCTGCTCCCCAGCTTTATAAGAAACTATTCTTGTTGGCTCAGTCATTTCAAGTCGGGTGTCTCTTAAATGCCTAAGGTAGGCAGCATGAACATTCCCTTTCATCAGCTTCTGTAAATCTAGTGTTCTTATCTTTAAAAAATAAAATACTTAGGACTTTTGGCTGCAGAAGCAAACCTTCACACGTAAAATTAACTGTAATCAATGCAGTAGTTTCTTTAGTCTGCAAACAATTACCATGTCCATTGTGCGTGACCTTCAAAAACAGCAGCAAGAGGCTACTCCACACAGGAATCATCCTGTGGGCTTGCAACAAAACCCAACAACAATCTTCCTCTCCTTATCATTCAGGAAGTTAAATGCTTGCCCTGGCCTGAGGGTGGGAGTGGGCATTACTCTATTTTCCTTCCCTCAGTCTTTAATATTAGCCCCATATGTGCAGTAACTTGTCTTTGTAATCCTCCACTGCATTACATATTTCTGAAATAGTGGGAAGGGAAAAAAATGATACAGATGTTTTATTTGGGACAAGAGGTAAAACACCTTTAAAATGAAGGCTGATCATTTTGGAAAGGAAGGTAATTTCTTCCAAAAGCAATTACTATCAATATAAGATGTTCTGGTCTGCAATAGCAAGGCAACAAACCAGAAAAAACCTGCAAAAAATCTAACAAAACCAAGCTGCTTACTCTACCACATATTCACCACCTAAAGTCTCATAATATTACTTCTTTTTTTTCCATTTCAGCTAGCATTGGGAATGCTAAATGCAACCACAACTATTACAGGGAAGATAGACAGAAGCAGACTCTACTGCTTTTCAGTTCTGATGCCTCAACAGGTTTCCACTTTTTCAGAAAAATAAGTGACAACTCAGTGGTCTCTCATTTTTGACAGCTTTACTGACCTAGAGATCTTGAACATCTGAATATGTGCTTGAGATTTATGCAATTTAAAGATTATCTGACTTTTAGAAAAACTTTTCACTCAGTCAAAAAAATGCCATCATACTTCAGAACAAAACACAGGACCAGGCTTTTCTGCTTTTGGCATTTTGTTTGGGGGTTTGTTTTTAAATAAAAGTAGCATATTTACTGATCATAACCAACTTGTAACTACAGGTTTGTATCAGGCATATCTGCTCTTTCCACTTCCTACATCTCCATGAAATGAAGTAGGGAATTTTTGTTGTTTGGTTTTTGTTTGTTGGTTGGTTTTGTTTGTCTTTAATAGAGGTTTAATAGGTAACTTTTCATCTGAGCAAGTCACCATTTTAAAAGAAATAAAACTAAAAAAGTACAATCATAGTTTGTCCTGTTACCCCCTAAAGAAACCATGCTTTCCTCCAATACCCATAAACCATAAAGAGAGCAGAAGAAAGAAGAGGTGAGGGGAAACCAATACCTGTACTTGGTCACCGTTTTCTTCAGATCCACTTTGATTGTGAGATGTTCCCTCATACAGTTGACATCTGACACTTTCACATCTGAAACAGTATGACTCGAATCACATTGGCTATTGGAGGAATCTACGTTTTTCCTTAATTCCCCGTCCTTCCTTACTCTTTCATTTGGTTTGTTTTTAAAAGATCTTGGCTCAACATCCATTTTGGAAGAGTTAACACAAGCATCACAGCCCTTCTTTGAGCTATATTTAACAGGTACTTCGACGTGTCCTTCTTCAGTCCGCCTCGCTCTTCCACCACTAAAGTACTCTGGCTCTTTGCTATTCCGGGCACCCTTAGAAGAACTGTATTTCTGGTCCTCCTGCTTCACGTACTTCTGAGCTCTATCGCCTGGAAAAGGCTTTTCCCCCTCCGGATGCCTGCGCCGGTTGTGATTGTACTCATAGGCTATCTTTGGGACAGAACCCCCCACGTACTCCCTTTCAGCCGACCGGTGGGACTGGGCACCCGGGTATCTTTGCTCCTCCTTTTCTTGGTAGGGTGGAAAAGAACGTTCTTGCTTCCACTTGGAATTTCTTGCTACGTCTCCACAGTCATACCTCTCCATTTCCTTAGCCCTTTTAGACGTGTGCCCATATTCTCTGTAATCGTGATCTTCAGGATACCTGTGTTGACATAAAGCAATTTACACTTGCACTAGAGAAGAAAGCGAGAACTTATACGTGCAGAATGTTGGACAGCAGAATGCGTGGCAAGTTAACCCAAAATCCCTCACGCCAAGGTACAGATGTGCAGGGGCTCTTAAGAGGGAAATATTATCCTCTCATACTACAGCCAGCAATACGATTTACTTAAAAGACAAATACTTCACTACTACCAGTCGCCCATAATTAAACTACAAAGTGGCCAACGTGTTTCAAGGTGGATATCTTCAACTATAATGAAAACAGACTTTCACTTGAGGCTTTACACCACAATACCCAGGGTTTAATTATTTTATTCCTATACCTCTTCTGTAAAGAGCTCCTTGCCGTAAATTCATCAGAAACTCTTCTGGGTGACTGACCATACTTCTCTTCATGTAACCTCTGGTGCCTCAAGTCATCTTCATGCCATTTTCTTTCAAGTTTACATGAAGACCCTAATGGTCTGTGAAAAGGCTTCATTCCTTTTTCGTTTCCAGTGACTTTGTAGTGATCAAACACATATCTGTCCTCCATTTTGTGTTGGTAAAATGGACGATCATGCTCTTTATAAGGTATTTCCGAGTATTTTGGTGGTAACTGGCATCTCCTATTGCTTTCAGTTCTTTCAGATGAATGTGTTCTGTAGGGCTTATGACTGTAAGCATCTTCCATGGGAATTCTTTTCAGGTTTGGTGAAGGTGACCTACGTTCATATATTCTCTGGTGGTTATTTCCATGAGGTGCAAACCTGGAATTGTTTTGTCCATATTTTTCATCTTCTGTTCTCCAAGGCATAGGCTTCTTTGGGTCCTTACGAAAGCTTTTATATTCACAGTCATAATTAATATGAGCATGCCTTTGCCTATGATGCTCTGGACTCCTAAATGCTGGAGATAAGGACCTAGAGCAAAAATAAAATCCACTTTCAGTAGTCCATAAAATCGAATCATCTTCTTAATGAGAACATCTATTCCCTAAGGAAGTAGAGTTTAGTACACAATTTTAATCAACTTGTAAAAAAATTAAACCAAAGATATTCAAAGTGACATTTTCCTGGCTAAAGCAGCAAGCTTACTTTTACTCTGTTGAAAGATTTCATAGGAAAAATACCCACTCAAAATAGTAGCAAGTCAATCATTTTTGTCTCTTTAAAGTTTTTAATTTAAAACTTAAAATAATTTCATATATATGAAGTTTCCACTACATTGAAAACAACTGTTTAAGCGTATTTTCACACTTCCCAAGCATTTCCTTATCTTTTTCAGCACCAAGAGAAAAAAGAGGAAGGAAAAACAGCATATAAAGAAATTTAAGAAGAGGAAAAATGCCTTTTCAGGTTTTCTTTGCATGTCAAAACAAGCCCCAAAGCTTACTGAAAACATTATAAAATATTCTATTTAAAATGCCATACAGGTAGGTTTTTTCCTACAGAAAAGACTGAATTTGAAGAAAATGCTTAAGTCTTTTTGAATAATTGTATGTACATGTTCACACATGTATACATATGCACTTCCACACTTACTGCAGCTTTTGCTATTAAAGATTCAATTGCATCACTCTGCTTTGCATTTTCACCTACACTTTCAAAAACAAGGGCAACCTGTCAGGTTTTAGCCAAAACCTGCTTAAATAAAGAAAAAGCAGCACAAGCCATTAGCAAGAACCAGAAAGTAATCCCAGACATAACAGTTCTGCCTGTATTCAAGCATTCACTGCACTCTCTCAACACATTCTTTAATGAAAACACAAAAAAATGCAAGTAGGAAAAAAAAAAAATCAAGGAAGTCACTTCCTTTGTACATCTATTGCAAATTGCAAATGTACAATTTGGCAGAACTGTTTGCTCCATTTCTGCAAATGAGTTCAGATTCAGAACCACAGATCTTCCTAAAAACATAATGGCTGACTTCCAATAGCACCCGTACTGCTGCTGCTGTCCCATGTTGGTCTGGTTATGGCTTGCATTTTAATGAGAGCTGGGGCATTCCTCCCTGCCCTTACTCAAAGGACATATTCACAACTATCAATCTAGTATGGACATGGATAGGGTTTCTCTTTTTAAAAACAAAGAAAAGAATTAAAAAACCCACACATTTTTGTGTTACCCAAACTCTCCTCATCTTGTTCATCACAACTTAGTCTGTTCCTAAAACCAGCAGAAAAGGACTTTCGAGCTCTCAAAAGCTTAAACTGTATTCTAGCCTCCTAGTTTTAGCACCTTGAATTTGCACTGCAAGTCTTAAAAATTAGGCAGGTAACTAACAGTATGAAGTAAGCTGGATGTTATTCTGGTGACAACATCAGTAACACGTTACTAAGCTAATGTCCAAGGAGAAGAGCACTGACTCCCATGTTTCCAGTTTGTGTTATGCTGCAAGGCATGTTTGACTCTGTTAAAGATCACTTTGCAGCTGAGCCCCCAAACCTCAGGAAGCCCAAAGTGTTTGAACTAAGAAGTTAAAAAAAAAAAAACAAACAGAAAAAACCAACTACTAATTTCTTTTAGCAGTCCCTCCCTGTAAACCAAGAACAAGTTACAGACATTTAAACGCACAAGGTAGTGCTTGAGTAAAAATAACCTTAAATAGTTTGGTGCTTCGATTTTGTGCTTAACATAGTTCTAAATCCCAAAACATGGAAGATGAACAAGGTTCTTGGCAGACTGCAAAACCTTAACACCTCCAGTTTAAAAAAAAAATCATCATAATAAAACTGGGAGCTGGGAAAAAATTGTAGAAGGTGTTCAGCTTGGAAAAAAAATTATAATTTACAAAAGACACTTTACAAATTGCAATTCAGCATGTAATATTCAGGTCCTATTTATAAATCCTTATAGAGCCCTACATTTCAGAACACAAGTTATGGATATTTACCTTGGTTTCCATCGTGGTGATCTTGATCTAGATCTTGTCATCTTCTCTCACGTGCTTATGAGTTTCTTGAAGCTGTAAAAAAGGTTATCATTTACTAGTCTGATTACAAATTGCAACAGGAACAGTTGTTTTTAACAAGCATAGTATTAGATGCTTCAAAGTTCGGGTGAGACATATTTTTAGGATGTTTTACTTAAAAGGTAAACCTCTAATACCCATTTTAAGGCAAGTAGCTTCCTTTTCCCAATTGCTTATCTTATTTTCTTTATAAAGATTTACATATTTTATCATAGTTCCATTTTTCTTGCCATCTATTCACCCTACTTTCAAATGTTAATAAACTCATAAGCAAGCTGCAGCAACTGAAAAATTGTTGTAGTTGTTACTATGTGTTGAATGCTGTAGACGATAGAGGAGAAACAGCTTTAAAAATCAAATTTGTGGGGAAAAAAATGGTTTTGCATCAAGTTATAGTCTGAATTCCATATATATTGAATTTCAAATTTGTAATATACACCAATATTTTTACATGGTTACAGATCTCTTGTAAGCTTTAACCGCTCCATCAAATCTTAACTGCTAGATCATCACATATTTCATCCAAATAAAATGAGATACAAAAGGTCACTTTTCATTTATATACTTCACCTGCTAATAACCTACTACCTGGACACACATTTAAATATACAATGGATGCACTATGACAAAGTGCTGCTCCTGACTCCCGAAAGTAGCTCTGGGTGTCCCTTCTCATAATAGCTACAGAAGAATGAGAAAAATATCAGTGTAATCTACCCTTTTAGGTCTTCTTTGCAAAAAGATATTAGGACCTTGGAAAACAAGTGATGAAAGTATATACCAACTCACCAGTAATGCGACTGGTGAAAAGAAACGAAATCATTATTCATTATTGAGCAAATACAAAGGATTAAAGCAGAGTGAAATTATTGGCTAACTGGTTAAAAACTGGAATTTGGACCACATACTCATGCCTTCTAATTGCCACAAGATGCTGTAAAGGGCAGAAATATAAATAGACAGAAAAGCAGGTCCATCAACAGCTCTAAAATTAATGAACAACCAATCACTGGAAAATGAAGGAAAACGCCCAGGTCAATGTCACTCTCTAAGTGCTCTGGTATTTGCTGTAATTATTTGCTCAGACACTCATGGAGACAGAAAACTAGTCTGAGCTGGCCAAATATGGTCTTTTTGATACTCCCAGTGTTCAAATAACTTCTTTAACTAAATCTTTTACCTGAAAAACTGAAATTGAAAGGGGAGAAGCAAGCTTTAAGGCACTACCTGAACTATTGTGCACCCACGTCTGACCCAGTGCCTCACACATCCCCCCCACCCTATCCCACTAGTTGGTCAAATAAAGTATCACTCCTTGCTAGATTTGATTTTTTTGGTATGAATAGCTCATGGCTAAAAAAACAGTATCTCAAGAGAAGAATGTACAGCATACTTCTGATGCCTACCCCACAGGTGGATGTTAGACAAGCCACCTCCTATATTTCAGAGTGATTCTAGAAAGTTCTCACTAAGTTGCACAATAAGCTAACCAGACCTTTATTTGCAAGACACAGCATTAGCTTAGTCCTGAAGAAAAACCTCTGGAATTTATTTTTCAAAAATCTCAAAACTCTCCTGTGCACCATGAGGGTATTTGCTCCACAATGAATCATTCCATGTGACAAAGCACAAAGTTGTAAGTGTTGCAAGGGATAGTGAAGCAAAAAAAAAATCCAATCCAAAAGTACCACAAGGACAAAATACAATATTTGTTCCCTGAACTTTCAAATATGAAGTTATCCCTGCCTCATAGATCCTAAAGGCATATATCTGAGGACTGCACAGCATGAATTAACTTCAGGCCCTTTGCTTACTTGAACATCATGCTGGCCAAAGTTAAATATGATGCTCCAATGCCAGTATTCATTAAATATTATTTTTCAAAGAAAAGTAATACTGCGACAAAAATGCTTGCCTGTTTTTCACCCATAAAAACACACCTTACAAAACAGAATAGTATTTCAGAAACAAAAAACCACACTCCCTGGTTAATACATTTCAAAACGTGGTGTGTGATCTGCAAGCTTCAAAGATTCACTACTACCCTCTCTTCTGGTAAACTTTTAAAGGTGACAGTGTTTTATGCACTGATCAAATTATTTTTTTATATCTTCCCTTCAGTTCTGAACTTTATTCTTCATTTTCAAGTGAGTACGTAGACACCAAAAAGACAAAAGCACCATTAAACCCCACCCAACCATTGGTACAGAACGTGATCTGCCAGACTGATCGAGGCAGAAACTGAACATACATAACGAGCAAGAGCAATTCCTTATTCTTTCGAGACTGGCTAAACAATTGTATCTAAAAGCGTGAGAAGTACTGTGACAGCATGTCCTAGATCTTGCCTTAGGATAAGGAGGACTGCTGTAATTTCCAATGAAGACACTCCTTTTGTTTAGTGGAAAGAAGTGTTCATTTGTTTCAATGCACCTCCTCAAAAATGACCCACGCAATATGATTTCCTCACAGAGGAACAAACCATGCAAAGGCAGCAGACACTCGACCCCAACCAAGACTCCCCATGTAATACCAGAATCACAAATTAATCTATACAGAATTTGTAAACCCATTGCTAAATCCAGGTTTAAATCACCTCAACTAGACCAGCAATATGATTCCATACCAAAAGCAAGCTTTTTGTAGGATGGTATTGGGTAGCAAGCCTGTCTATAGCAGAATTACTTGAATCAAGTGAAGGCCCTACAGTTTCTGAGTCAGCATCCAGGTGCTTCTGAAAAGCCAGGTCATATTGGAGCAGAGATGCCAGGATCTGGCTGCTCTGGGCTCTGAATTTCTTCAAGACCTTCTGCTGTGCTTTGTGAGATGCTGTCACTATGAAGAACAATTTTTTTTTTTTAACTAAAAAGTATTATTAAGTTCATAGTGCTGCTTGTGTTTGCTGTGTTACAACAATAAGTGACTTATTGGAGGAGTTATCAGTAACTGTGCTTAGACAGTTTTTAAATATTAATGGGAATCCCACCTTTTAGTTTCTTTCCCTTGACTTTTGGAATTGAAATCAGACAACTTCCCCCTCAGGAGAAACGGTCTCAAGCCTGCTGCCAGCTCTCTTTGATTCCACCCTTGAGAGATCAGTGCTTTGACAAGCACAAAATTCTAGTAGTATATATCTACTACAAACCTGAAAGGAGTATCTTGAGACAAGTAACTCAAAACCAACTGTATGAAATGTGCCAACTTGAACACATGTTCTTTCAGAAAGGCTATAAATTTTTACCAAGTTGCTCTCCTGAACAGAACAATCTTCAACCTCCTTGACATTCTCCAGCAGAAACACAAGAAATCACAAGTGACTAAATGACCGCAGTCATCTAGCTGAACAGAGGGGAACTGGAGCTCTTCTTAATGCAAAGAGCCTCACATCAGCAAGCCCCAAAGAGCTAAAACCCTGCAGATACAGCACAGACACAGTAGAAGCAGTTAACTCTCCTGTAAAAACTTATAAATGTACAGACTGCTTTACATGCCTTTTTGATGCCTTCTATCATCTACAACAGATCATGGAAGAAACTATTTAGGACACACAGAGGGCAGATCAATACCAACAGTGCTCATCACCAGGGAGCTGCTGTTCAATACCATTTCACCTCCAGTGAAGGGAGATGTCATTCCTCACCCCTCTGTGAGGGATTGCCCGGCCACCATTGCCACTGACTTGCAAACCCTTTAGAGGAGAGGGATAAGCAAGTCTCTCATAAGCTGGGTCCCACAGCTGACAGGAAGACAGACACTGACTCTTGCTGCAAAAACTACCCACCTCACTATTCTCTCACTTTGCCCAAATAGATAAGGAGCAGCTCCAAGCTTTCCATTGACTGTCTTCTAGGCAGGGATCAATCGGAAGCTGCAAGGGACACGCCAAAGTCTGTATTGCTGCAGTGTCTGTCAAGAAAGAAAAACCAGGAATTGATACTCAATATCAGGACAACCAAGTCTTTGACAGAAACACAGTCAAAACCCCAGCTGCAATCCAGACATTAAAAAAAAATAAAAGGAAATATCTTAAAGTCTGCAGTACAGAAAGCCATTTACACCGTCATTAAGTGAAAACCACAGAACTGGCAACTTCTCTAGTAGGTAGGTTATAATACCTGATGCAAAGGCTGTCCCAGCAGCGCCTACCCCAGACACTGTCCAAGCAGAACACAAGCCTGGCATGTTCTTGCCTATTCAACTTCCAGGCAAACCTTATAATCTCCAACACCAAATGCCCAGGAAAGAGTGCAAAACCAGAGAAATACCTCCCAGCAAACCAGTCTCAGTGTTTCTCAACCTGCAACAGGACTTTTAAAAAGTCAAGGCTTCTTCGACTGGCTTCAGTACCATCACCACAGGCAGAGGTTTCCAGTGCTGTGCTAGGCCATGCATACACTCATTTCTCCGTGAGCTTTCTACTAAACACCTTTGATCTCAAAACCACAGCTCCCAAATGGCACCTGCATCCACCAACCCCAACCCTCCAGGGGCTGGAGAAAGGATGTCACCAACTGTGCAGCACAAGCCTGGCCCATGCTCCAACATCGCTGCACCAGCACCAGAGAGGTGCCTGGAGCCCAGTTGCAGCTCTGCCAGCACATGGAGGTGACTCCCATCTCAAGGCACATCACCTGAGGGAAGGACATATGTGACAGGTTTGAAAACATGAGCTAGAATAGCTGTTTAAGTCAAGGACACACACTCAGCTGAGGCAAATGAAATTCAGCTGAGTGATTTCTAAACCATTCCCTCTTTTAGACAACACAGCAAGTAAAAGATCAATGCAAGTGACTGAGATCCAAATTTCCATCCTCAGTTTTCTCATAGCTCTCCTATATTCAACAACTGCTCTTTTTGATTACAGATCCCTCCTCCTGGACTTTTACCACTCTCAGAGCACCTTCCACATCTCCAAGGTTATGTTTTGAATCTCCACAATATTTTGTAGCAGGTCTGGTAGCACCACCCCCAGGCCACTGCTGTCTCATAGCCTAAATCCTCATCACCAACACTACCAGGGAGATGATCCTTTTTTTTTTTTTTTTTAAACCACCTTCATTTTTCCTTTTCAGTGCCATGCCATATTTATCAAATTTCCAGACCTGGCCCACAGCACCTCCCGAGGCAGCTGTGGCAGAGCAGCTGGGAATGGTGTGTAGCCATGGCAGGAGGCAGCACCATGAGTCCACACTACTGCCCGACGTGTCACAACCCAAGGAGTGCAGCGAGCTCCAATGCTCCAGTTTGTCTGCCGGGACACTCGGCTTCCCCGGCACCAGAAGCATCCCTCCAACCTACCAAAACCACATCACTCCTTCTCAGCTTTGTCATTTTTCTTTGGCACAAGCTGGGGAAGGCAGGCTTTATACAGCTTGTATCCCAATGCCAAGGATTGTTAACAGACAACCAGGCCTCACATTAGCAAGGTAACTGTGCCATGCAGGGGCAGCATATGGGAATCACTCTATTCTGCTTGCTAAACAAAATGGATAAGAGATATAAAAATTATTGTCCCTTACACTGACAGTAGGATGAAGACCTACAACGGAAAGTACAGGCTTAGCTGAAGCATACAAAATTTCCTAATGGACCACTAAACAAATTTTAAGTTATTCCTTGGAATACATAGAAAGTATTCCCCCGTGCCTGCATATTTGAGCAAAAGAATAAAAATAACTCAGTCTACTGAACATGTAACTTGTCAGTGTGTTCTCATTTAAAAGCAACCTGTTTAATGACACTAATTAGCAAGCGATGCCTCACCTTTGCAGAACAACAGATTACAATGCCAACTTGGAAGGACTAAGCAGGATAAATCTGTGTCACATAATAAGTGAGGTATTATATTACACTCTCAAATAAACTTTTTTTTTTTTTACACAAAGAAAGCACAACCCATACGTATATTATTGAGCCATTTCTATAACGTGTTGAATTAGGGGCCTTTAACACCTGTCCACTACAGTGTCAAATGTCACAGCACCATCCCCAGCCACTTCTGCCTACCACTTTCTAAGGGGACACCAGAAGCATGTCATAGTCCCAGAGACAAACCACCACAACTTCCTGCCTACCGAAAGCTCTCCAACACACACAAACCACGATGAAAACCTTTGCTTCTTCACCTTAGGTCAAAAAACCACCGGGAAACTAAAATAAGACCCTTATTTATTCAGAATCAGAGATGCCACACAGCAACATTACCAGGAGGCTGGGAAGCCCAGGCTGCCTTCTCCAGTCACATCAGAGAAATGCACCCTTGCTGGAAGACTCCCAACATGTTTCCTCCCTTCCCTGCAGACAGCGAGTGCCTGCTGCCACCTGAGAGGAAAAGTAAACCTAACTCTGTGCAACCACATCGCTCACCAGCTTGCTGCAACACCAACCCAGCCTCTGTCACCTCCTTGCAAACACCCACAAGCCAAGACTGCACCGAAATCAAGCCCATCTCATCCCAGCGCAGGCAGATGGAGAGTTGGTTTGATCACTCTTACAAAAGCAGTGGCAGAAATACCAGTTATTTTGCTGAAGGCAGATGTGGAGGAGTGCATGGACACTCAAGACTGACAGCTGTTTATCAGGATAACAGGGTGTGCCTCTAGAGGAAGTTAATTAATTCAGTTCACCTCATCAACACCAGTAGTAGGAAAAAAATGAAAAGGGAAAAATCCTCATAGCTTCTGATCAATCTTTCAGAGTATAAATATGAAAATAAGGGGAAAGACTTAGTCATCTGTGTTCTCTGCACCCCTCTGCCCAGCCCTGTGTCAGGCTGCCACAACATAACATCCATCAGCAGAGATCCTTCCGTGCCTTTTGCATATTTCTTCCCCTCCCTTCCTGGCATTCCCTTCCATACTCTTCCTCCAGCCATCCACACCCAGCAAGACTTTCATGAAACATTCACTTTTCCTTGAGGCCCACAAACACGCAAGGTAAGCAGCTAATTAAAATCTCCCAGCAATTTGAGTAGCCTTTGTTTTAAACCCTTGTAACTCAGGAACCTAAACTATATTTATAAGTGACTTGAGGCATTTAAGAATGGCAGTAAAAATTAGGTATTGCTGTCCTGGATGGAGTTGAGCCAAGTGAGTAGACTGCTATCACTGATTCCTCATGAGACACTACTGCACCCCAGAGCTGTATGAATAACTGTGCATAATGAACTAAACCAATCAAAGAAGTATAAAAAAAAACATTGATTTGGACAAATCAGCACCAAGTCATCTTGCTTTGAGCTGACTCAGCCCTGAAAATATATTAAGCTAAACCAAAGACGTGCTGAAATTGAGATGTAACTGCTATACGAAACCTGCACTGTGTAAAGTCTTTACAATGACTTTAACTGGCGTAAATCCGCGTGTGACAACATATAAATTACTGGGAACAGAGTCTGCTGGTATTTATGCCTTGCTCACCTCTGAGGTGTCCTTACAGAACAGCGAGCAGCGACCTCCGCTCTGCGGTGCTGCCGGCCCTGAGGGTTCACACCACACGGCTGTTCTGGAACAGTCACGACACGGGGGCACGGCCGACAGACCCGCGGCGACTTGTCGCCCCTGCCCTGCCCTGCGCTTTGTTCCTGCCCTCCCAAATCTCGCTGAAGGCACCGCACCACGAACACACCGGTCTGTGCACAGGGAGGCGCGGTCCGGGTGCCGCTGCCCTGGCAGACCCAAGATGGGAGCAGCACAACCCCCGCCGACCTCCAGCCCCGCAGCAACGCTCCCAACGGGCAGCTCCTCCCGGGGGGCAGCTCCTCCCGGGGGGGACCTCCCCCCCGCCGCCTCCCCGGAACGGGCCCTCGGTGGGCGCGGCGGGGGCGAGAGAGCCCCGCGTACCCCGGCCCTGCGGAGCCCCCGGGGCGGCTCGGCCCGCCCGCTCCCCTCGCCCGCCGGGGCCGGGCCCAGGCCGGTGCGGCGCAGGCGGCGCTGACAGGACAATGCCCGCGGCCGCCCCAGCCCCGGCTCCGGCTCCCCCTGACCGCGGCACCGGCCCCCGCCCCCCTGGACGGGCCTCACACCAGGGCCCACCGCGGCCGCGGGGCCGGTCTCCACACTCACCGCCTGCGGGGCCGCTCCCGCCGCTGC